ACCCCGACCACGGAGCCTGCAGCTAGGCGTGGGGGCCGTTTGGCTTTCCCGATGGGGCTCCACGAGCACCCGGCATTCTCTCCTTAGCCCTGTGACCTGCCCGTGTGTGGATTTGGTTGGAGGTAAGTGCAGACCTGCTGTATCTCTTTCAGACGATGGTCCTCTTCCCTCCAGTGGAGACAGCTTCTCAGCGACAGGACTCCCAGCACAAAAGACCAGCATTGCAATTGGGACTTTGAGTAGGATAGAAAAGCCACTGTGGGCAACTCTGGGGTTCTACTGTGCATGCATGCTCTGGCATCGTTCCCCTTTCACTGCGCACTCGTTGGTTAGAGTCTCCCCGTGTTGCCTATCGATTCTTTTATCTCTGACTTTCTCCTCTTAAAATAAGGCCTGCTTTTCCTAAAGCGATCTAAAAATTCAGTGCAAAAAAATACAATAACAGTACTAATAAAGTGCAGATTCTGTGCAGTCCCTCGGAAAATTCCAATAGTTGCCGCTGCAGCAATGGACAAGTTGTCTCTGCTCAAGCGCCACATTCCACGTGGATGCCAAGGTGCCCGTTGTTGTTAGGTGCCATCTCATGGGTTCCCATGGACACAGAACGAAACCCCGCCCAGCCTTGCGGCACCCTCACCATGCCACTGTGCCCGAGCCCACTGGCAGCTGCTGTGGCAGTCCACCTGTCTCATCAAGGGCCTTCCTCTGTGTCAATGCCCCTCCACCTTACCAGGCACGATGTCCTTCTCGGGAGCGCTTTCCCCTGAGGACATCGCCAAAGGACGTGGAACCCAGTCTTGTCTGCCTTTCCTCCAGGGCATTATGCTGGTTTGTGTTCCAAGACAGATCTCTGTTCTTCTGTTAGTCCGTGATACTTTCAGTATTGTTCACCAACATCATCATTCAAATGCACCGATTTGCTCTGGTCATCGTAGCTACTGTATATACTCGTGGATAAGCCGAGTTTTTCAACACATTCTTAATGCAGTTCTTGTGGTAAAATTAGGTGCTTCGGTTGATATTCAGGTCAGCTTATACTCATACTCAAGTATATACAGTAAAACAATCTTGGAAAAAACCAAGTAGCAGCCGCTTCAAATTTCTAATTTCAAAACATACTGTGATTTTGGCTGCAGTGATCAACGCAGTCGACCCTGGTATATGTAGAACAGTCGATTAGAATAGAAAGTCTAGAAGTAGACCTGTATGGACATCTACAGCCAACTGGTTTGTGACATAGTGTCAAACCCATTCAGTGGGCAAAGGTTTAGTCACGTCAAGAAATGATGCTGCCACAACTGAATTGCTACATGTTAAAGAATGAAGTTGGACTAAATGCCTCACACACTAACGGAAATTAACTCTAAGTTGATCACCTAAATCCATAGAACACTTAGAATAAAGCATAGGGGTAATATGCTTTGGGACATGAAGTGTATTTTAACTACAGATTTCTGTATATAACAGAAAACACGAACAACTACAGATAGAGTGTTTAAATTGGACTTCCTCAGAGTAAGCCTTTGTGCCTCGTAAGACTGGTCTGAGAACGTGGAAGGAGACCCTAAGGGAGCGATTGTGTTAGACTGGTTTTCTGGAGAAGCCCAACAGAGCCACTGCACACGTGCACGTAGAAAAGCACGTCCACCAAGTGTGAACCAGATAGCGGGCGGAGGCCTCTGCCTCCAGCCAAGGAGCCCAGGAAGGTGGCCGGCTGGGGAGAGCAGAGGCGCGTGAATCCAGGGCGAGAAGGTCCAAAGAACCTCTGGGCGTTGATGGGCCAGACGCAGGATCCAGACCCAGCAAAACCAAGCAAGCTTTCCCCCACCCCCAAGAAACCTTCCCGCTGCCTCAGCGCCGTGACCGTGCTGACACTGGCTGCTCACAGCCCTCCTCCCAGAGGCGACTCCATCACGTGGGATTGCTGGGCCTCAGGTGCCAAAGCACCGAGAACCCCGGCCCAACCAGGTGGACACAATGCGACTGTCACAACCACATAGCGGAGAAGAGGGCACTACGCAGAATCTATAAAGAGCTCTTCAGCTCAAGAGCAAAAAGACAGGTGACCCGGTTTTAAAACTGGACCAACAGCCCGAGGAGACATTTCTTCAAAGAAGAATATGTGTATAGCCTGCTTTGGCCGGGTTGAGTCTGACTCACAGTGAGGGGTTTCCTAGGCTGTGATCTGTACTTCACGGAGCCGCTGGCCGGTTCAGACCGCCAAACTGTGAGTGTTTGTGGCGTGCTTAACCGCTGTGCCACCAAGGCGTTGCTCATTAGGGGAATGCAAATCAGAACCACGATGAGGTACCACTTCGTCTTCGCTAGAGTAGCTCTTTGAAAAATAGAAGTTAACCGTTTGAGGACATGGAGAAATTGGAACCCTTGTGCACTGTGTGGACAACAGTGTGGGGATTGGTCAGAAAGTGAATCCTAAGATGACCCTGTTGCTAGGTGCCCTCCAGGCTGTCTAGGTCCTGCCTCATAGCGACCCTCTGTGTGTGACAGATGGCAATTTCTGTCCTTGAAATTTCCCTCCTCAGCATGGACTCCAAAGGGACTAGTTCCCAGTGTAACATCGTTCACAACAGCAGGAAGATGGAAACCACCAGGTGGATGCGGAAATGAGAGAGGCTATATGTGTACACAGTGGTTTAGGCTTCAGCCACAGGAGACACGAAGCCCTGCTATGTGCTATGATGACATGGATGGCCTGGAGAACGTTATGCTGGATGAAGTGGATCAGGCACAAAAGGACAGAGAATTGTACGATCCCACCTGTCAGAGATAGCAAGAATAGTCAACTGCAGGGAGACACCAAAGTTTATCAGTGGTTCCCACGGGGTGGGGAAATGAGGTACTGCTGAAGGCGTGCCCAGTTTCTGTTGGGGGTAAGGCAAAACTTGTGGAAATGGGTAGTGGTGACGGTTGCCCGACACGGTGAATGTCATCAATGTCACTGAGTGGTATACCTGAAAATGATGACCGTGCAGATGTTCTGTCTCACTACAAGTAAAACCCCTCTGCCACCCTCTCAGCCCCACAGAGGCCCATTGCAACACAGAGAACTGCTGCTCCTGCTAAGACCGGCCCGGGCGTGGTGAGGAAGAGCCCAGGTGTGGGCAACGGGGATGACGAGGCAGCCGAATTGATGCAGCAGGTGGGTTCCTTTTGCATCCCTCACTCAAGTTGCTTGACAAGGACAAGGCCACTGGCGGGGTGGCCTGGCTGCTCCTGCCGGAGGCCTGTGGTGGTGCATTGCCCCTGCAGCCCTGTGCACGTCTGAGCACTGACAGCAGTGTGGGTGGGTGGGGAGGGTTCAGGCATTTCTGTAGCTTGTTAAATGCAGAGAAACCTGTGTCCATGGGGAATAAAGGTCCATAGACTAGAACAGTGGTTCTCAACCATCCTCATGCCGTGACCCTTTCAGACAGTTCATGTTGTGGTGACCCCCCCATCCATAACATTATTTTCGTTGCTACTTCATAACTGTCATTTTGCTACGGTTATTAATCAGGTGACCCCTGTGAAAGGGTCGTTCGACCCCTCCAAAGGAGTCTCGACCCACAGGTTGAGAACCACTGGACTAGAAGAACCCTGCTGGATGTCCTGGCATGCTGTCAGGGCTCTGTGGGGCTCCCGAGCATCTCCTGAACGCCAGCTCTGACAAGATGGGTGAGGAGTGACGGCAGTGGCACGGGATTCTACAGTCACTGCTGAACCCTAACTGCCACGTTGTTCCCCCTGGCGCAAGCCCATCAGCCTTTCTGAAGTGTGGGGGGCCCGTGGGGCCACTGGAGGTGTCAATTGAGGGTGAAGCTGGTGTGAAAAGCGTGCTGCTATTTTGGTTTGTTTCTTAGTTCAGTGGTTTGAAATGTCTTGCCTCTTCAGGATTAAATATCCCTAAAGTTTTTATCAAGAGGAAATGTCCTCATGAAACTTGAGAGTTGCTCTTTTTGCTTTTGGATGACTCTCTTGGATTCCAGCTTTTAAGTCACAGATGCCTACGAGTCTGGTGAAGTTGGGATTAAACCTTCTCACTTCTCCTAAAAGCCAATTCCTAAAAGCTCTGGGAGGAGCAACCGACGTTTAGCACAGAGCCTCTTGGCACCTAGATCCAGGAATTGAGGAGTTGGGAATTCAAGAGCCTGCCCAGTGATCACATTCATTTGAGCATTTCTCCCATATGTGTGTACCCCATGGTTCTAGGTGGCTTGAGGGTATCATGGTAAATGGGCCCCCATCCTTGTTCTTGGGTGACTTAGGTACTCTGGATGCTGACCCATTGGAGCACAGATCTTAAGAAATGTGACTCGCACAGGTTCTACAGGCCAGGTGCCCTCCCGCAGGGGGGTTAAGGTTGGGAGTCCTGACTGGCGAATGTGAAGTGGGCTGACACTTGTTCAAGGTAGTCATTGGTTGAGTGTCTTCCATGAGCTGATGCATGTGTGGTACCCATGGGCGAAACGGCGGCGGGTGATCACTGTGGTCTGGTCTGTGATCCTGGTACCATAAAAGGTCCAGAGTGTTCCCTTGTGTATGAACGATGCATATAAAGAGCACTCTTCGAGGGCTTATGCTATGCCCTGTATAAAGTGCTTTCATGTTACTGTGGCACAGCCCGGTGAGGTGGTACCAGTGGGTACCTGTGCTGTAGGAGCCAGGCTCCAGCGGGGCCAGGCTCCAGAGCCTACGTAGGCCAGACACTGCCGAGTCAGGAAGGGAATGAGTGGAGGAGGTCGTGTGACTTACCTAGAGTCTTAGAGAGTGTTCTTCTTTTCGTCACACCCGCTGTTAGATATGGGAATCGCTTACCACACACATCTATTGAAGGGGCTTGTTCCAGGCAAGGGGCTGCTAAGCCCTGGGCAGAAGACCGGGTTGTGGAAGCTGCTTTAGGCCTGGAAGGGGCATGTGACGCCGTTGGAGAAGATTTCCTTCACGGCGGCCGCTGTGGTCGGAGTCTTTCAGGACTTCCTTCCCTGAGGGTGTGACGAGTGAGCTGGTTTGGATGGTCAGTGCAGTAGAGCTTGGCTGCCTGGGCTTGGAGTATCCCTGGCCTTAAAGGGAAGGGAGAAGCTCAGAACGGGGTGTGGTTGGGTGTCCCGAGCAGTGCTTTCTTTGCAAGGCCTCCGATTGGCCGGCAGAGGCTGCGGTTCACTCAGCAGGTGCACTTCACTGAGCCTGGAAGATGGGCCGTGTGCTCACGATCAGCTGATCCAGTCTCACCATGAGAGGGACTGCATACAGGTTTAATTAATAATGAGGGGTTTCGTTATTAGTAATGAAGGGTTTTTTGGGTTGCCAAAGCCCTTCCCCTGTTACTTAAACTTGACCGTCTTAGCTGATGTTCATAATTTCTTGGTCCCAAGAGTGTGTTTGCCTTTCTGGCTTTGGTGAAGGTGTGTGGGTCTCAGAGAAGTGTCGGGGGCAGAAACTCGGGCCAGGTGGGAGTGTTAGCGAAGAGCTCGTTCATTCTACACAGATTGCGTGGTGTTTTCCTGTGCGCGGTGAACCTGCCAAGGACTCCATCTACATTCTTACGTCATCAGGAAGAATTTCCCTTGAGTTGATTGTAGTCCACAATAGTGCTGTCCTGTGGAAATGGGATGTGAGCCACAGTATATGACCTCTTAGCTGCCTTGGTAAATGTAAAAGGAAACCGATAACGTGATTTTTAGAAGCAGCCAGTCCAGTTTATCAGAAATGTGGGCATTTCAACATGTAATCCAGATAAGGAATTACCAGTGATTTTGTTTGAAGATGGGTCCTGGATCTGTGAGAACCGTGCATATCCTAACACAACTCATCTCAGTTCCCATGGCTGGCTTTCAAGTGCTCGGTGCTAGCCACGTGTGGCTGATAGTTCCGAGCTGACCAGTGCACATCCCAACACTCTCCTTGGGTGGACCTCAACTTTTACTCAAGAGAAGGTTCTAAGAGGGACATTGACCACTAGCGACATGTTTCTAATTGGCCTTCAAGATGGTTCTAGGTGTGAGGCAGGGACTCGGGTCTTCATGGTTTGCTGTGGGTGTGACCGCTCACTGGGTGAGTGAAGTGACATTTGAAAGGCACTCTCCTTGTGGTCGAGTGAGTGGCCTTGTTGAGATAAGATTCAAACTTAAGAGTGGTTCTTGAGTGACTTGTTGTGAGCTAAAGTTACTGTCTTTTCCACATCTTATTTCTTGACATGATACTTTTTGAGAATCAGCTAACCCAAAGAACAGATCATTAGTAACAGGTGTTTGCCTATACATGGTGGGAACCTGGAAACCAGAACCTACTTAGACCTTGTGACAGAAATCTGAAAGGGCCCCCTTCCCACCCAGAAGGTTGGGTACCTGCTTTGCTACGCTTGATGATTTATGGGCCAGAGGCGTTTTCCTTGGTCTGGGGATGGTACTGCCGAGACACGGGCGTCTGGATGGCCGGCCTCCAGGTGAGCGCCCCACAGGAAACTGCTTTGACTTCCCGCTGTGCCGCAGTCACTAAGGCTCCCAGCCGGTGGTTACTTGACCTTTCTCTGCCTCTTGGGTGGTGCAGCTGTTGGTGAACTCTTACCCTTCTTTCTTTTTTAAATATTTTAGTCTCTAAATTTATTTCTATTTACTTACTTACAGCTTTATTGAAACACAAAAGCCACTGAATTTATATGCATTGAATGTATAAATTATGTGTATTTATATATTTATAATCATTTTATTGGGGGTTCGTACAACTCTTTATCACAATCCATACATACATCCGTTGTATCAAGCACATTTGTACACTTATTGCCATCATCATTCTCAAAACATTTGCTTTCTACTTGAGCCCATGGTACCAGCGCCTCATTTTTTCCCCTCCCTTCCCAACCTCCTCTCTCATGAACCCTTGATAATTTATAAATTATTATTAGTTTTTCATGTCTTATACTAACTGATGTCTCCCTTCACTCACTTTTCTGTTGTCCATCCCCCTGGGAGGGCGTTATATGTAGATCATTGTGCTAGGTTCCCCCTTTCTACCCCACCTTCCCTCCACCCTCCCAGTATCGCCACTCTCTCCACTGGCCCTGAGGGGTTCAGCTCTTACCTTTCTGTGTCCTCCTCACACCTCACCGTGGGGCTCACAGTTGAAGGAAAGCTAGCAAGACATGCAAAGAAGCAGTAGAGAATAGTGGCAAATGGGTGCTTTAGCTTTACCGGCCACCAGGCGAGGCAATACTTTTTAAACTTTGAATTGACTGCTGGGGTTGCTACAGGCATAGCAAGAGCTGGTCCAGAACCTGGTCCAGGAGAACTTTGGTGATGAATTGGTGAGCAAGTGCTTGGCAGAGCGGGCCTGCTGGTCCCGGTCGCTCGGTGCTTCTTCCCGCAGACACGAGAAGGGGAGCTTCCTTCTGCTCTCGGGCAGGACGCCGTCCCTCCGTGGGGCCTGCTGCTGTCTGCTTTGGTGTGGGCAGCTCTACATTGGGCAGGGCGGACCAGATGATTGTTGTGATGGCTTCCGGCTGGTGGCACTCCCCGCTTCCCAAACTCTCCTCGACCGCTGGGCCTTCGGTGTCCTAGCTGGGCCATCTGGGCTGGTCAGCACTCTGAGGGCTTATGCTTCACTGTGTGCCATGTCATTTGCTCTCAGTAAGACTTACAGCAAACCCCTGGGTTTCAGGTTTGAATGCATCAGAATGAAGATGGAGATGTACTCGGGCGAAAATAGGGGCACAAAGGATTGTGGGAGTTATTAACTTTCATTACTCTTGGCTAGATGTATGTGATCCTGGGATCAGCACTGTACTTCTAAATAAACTGCAACTTCCCAGGAACTACTGAGGAGGGATCCAGGGGGATTTATGTCTGCACAGCCCCATTGTGGGCATCTGAAGGATCCTGGCGCCTGCACAGTGAGCCAGTGAGGTGCTCTGGAGTGAGTGTGGTTGCGTCGGTACCAGGAACCTTCCTCAGATTGCTGCCCTCTGAGAGTCATGGGTGGGGACGAGAAAGAACCAGGGAACCTTGACTGTCCAGGCGGCTGAGAGAGAGTCTTCCCTTCCTGCAGACTCCGTTTCAGTGAGCTACATAGATCAGTCCCTGCTGCAGCCTCAAGTCACGATTAGCAACCTGTGGGCTGGGCTGTATGTTCTGCTTCTGAATTTGCCTCAGGCTCCTCTAGTCCCCTCTGTGTCCCTGCCCCCCACCCCACCCCTAGTTTGCTCTCAGGCCGTGAGAAGTGTGGGGTGGGGTGGGGGTTAGGGTTTGGGGTGCCCTTTCCTTGAAGTTATTCTTGGAGTCAAGGTGGTTGTGAACAAGTCCATTTTACCTAGGGCCAAAGAAAACTGACAAACAGAAGTGGATTTTTACGGGTCCTGAGAGCACGTTACTGATGTATTAACATAGTCTGGTGTGTGTTGTGTCCCTCTTGCTGTGTGCAGGTCAATGTGCTGAAGCTCACCGTTGAAGACCTGGAGAAGGAGAGAGATTTCTACTTTGGGAAGCTGAGGAACATTGAGTTGATCTGCCAGGAGAACGAGGGGGAAAACGACCCCGTGCTGCAGAGGATTGTGGACATTCTCTACGCCACAGATGTACGTGTTGAGCCAAGGAGGTCTCCTCTCCCAGGGGAGAAGCCATGCAGCCCACTGGTTTTGTGACCTTAGTCAGGCTCGAGGGTAGCTTTGTCAAAAGGCTGCAGCTTTGGCCCTTCCGAGGCAGCCAGCTGGCACCTCTGCCCAGCTACGGTGTCTCCTTTGAAAGCTGGGAGCCTTTGGCAGAAATAAGACAAGGAGGTGACCAGCCTCCACTGATAGGTGCCCTGGGTCACGCACCCCTGGTCTCCCTTACCCCATCCCCAATGCCCAGGGCCCTGAGCTCATTAGCAGGGATGCCCGGCTGAGGGAAGGAGGCACATGGCTCCTTCTCTGGAGTGGGGTCCACCCTCCCAGGAGCCCCCCTGGTTTCTGTCCCCTCGCTGTGCTCTGTGGTCTGGTTTCCCTGGACCCAGATTCAGCACAGCTGAATCTGCTGCTCCCAGTCTGGGGAGACCGACTCCTCCAGAATTGAGAATCTGGCATTTTGCCGTCTCCTCCATTTATGCTTTGGTTTGTTCCTTGAGTCACACGCCATAAAACTCTAGGGTCATGTGAGTGCCGTTAGCGCTGTCCTCAAAACACAGTTGTGAATTTGGGGAGAGTAAGACTGGCTGGAAAGTTGATCGTCCATTCATTGTGTATCTAGGGCTTTCTGTGTTCGATAATGGAGACAAAGATGACGGAGAGGAGAGGAGACGGGATAGTACTGAATGTTACAGGTGGTGCTTTGAGGCAAATTTTCATTTTTGAAAATGGCTTTAGAGAGTTCTAATTGACATGAATTTCAAATGTACCTTTTGATAATTTGATGTGTGTGAAACCATCCCTGTAGTCAAAACTGTCCATCACCCAAAAGCTTGAGAATGGGTTTGAGTGGGGTTAGTTTTGGCCCGAGGTGATGTGCGCTTCCGCTGCCAAGACATCTCTAAAGTCATGGTCACCAAGCCTCGTGGGCATCAGCCTACTTTGAACCAGTTAAGTCAAACCAGGACAGACTGGAATGCATCTAGTGTGTCTACACTGGAACGACGGCGGGAACAGGTAACGTGCATAACGTGCGCGGTACACTGGCACCGTGAGCCAGGCACTTCACTGGAAACCCCGTGTAGAGGTTTGCGACACTGCTGTGCAGCATGCACGCCCCCGCGCTGTCTTAGACGGAGGTGTAGTCTCCAGCGGGACGTCCACCTGTAGTTTTCCCTGTGCTGGTTATTGTTCCCGGGCCACCCACGTTTTACTCAGTGGGGTCCATTCCCCCGTGACTCCGGTGGCCGTGACTGAAGCACTGGGTGAAAGGACGTTTGACTTCGTCGGGCTTTTAAAAGGAGGGCGGGAACGCACCATTGAAACTGGTCCTGCATTCCGTGTTGAGTGACTGCCTTGCCCTGCGCTTTTCCCGTTTTAGGAAGGCTTTGTGATACCAGATGAAGGGGGCCCGCAGGAGGAGCAAGAAGAGTATTAGCAGCCTGGACCAGCAGAGCACCATCCGAATTCTTCACTCCAAATCAAATCATGTGCTTCACTGTAAAATACTCCCCTTTATGATCCTTAGAGGACTCCCTGGTTTCTTTTCATAAGCAGAAAGCACCTCCTCTTCAAGTGCACTTTGCAGAAGCCTCACTCCTCTTTCCATGCGTTTGAGTTAGGAGCTTTCTACCTTGTAGCAGAGCAGTATTAACATCTAGGTGGCTCACCCAGAGAGCAGAGGTTCACCCCAGGGCTCACTGTGCGCTTGCTGGAGACGGTGTCAGCGGAGAAATACAAAGACTGAATTGAATTGTAAGCTAATGTGAAATCTTGGCAGAGAACATTTACTAAATAAATAATGCCTTAAGAGTATTTAAAATATGCTTCCATATTTCAAAATATAAAGTACAACATGACAGGAGAGTCCGTGTGTTTTGACATTGTTGGGGAATGCGGGGCCAGATCTTGGACCCTTGTTCGGGATGGGCGGCTGGTCGACCTTGTGGGGCTGCTGGAACCCTTGGAGGCCGAGCCTCTGGCCGGACAGGATAGCGGAGATGAGAGTTGCTCTGTGAAGCCTTTGAATGCCACGACCAGATGCCTCCCTGCCTAATACATCCAGAGTCACCGGTGCCGGATGGAGAGCGAGTGTGCCTCAGCCCCGAGGCGCTGCAGTCGGAGAGCTCGGTTTTCCAGAGCATTTCTCCCCCTTGTCTCCCCGGTGACCCCCCACATTTCTATGTGCTGTGTTCTGTGGGGGAAGTAAGGTGTGTCCAGTTCTTCAACCTCATAAACTACCCTTGGGGGCCGGCCCACATCTGTGGGATTGGGCTGGGGGCTGGGTCCTATTTTGATGTCTTTTAAGTTTACATTTAACCTGTTTTTCTCTTCTCTGCTCCCCTGTCTTCCCACCCCCCCACCCCCGACCCCCCGGACTCCTTTGTTGGCACCTTCAAGTTTGCCGCTTCGAGTCCAAGCCTAGCAGGCAGGTGACGCTGCTGCCAGTTCCGCCCGGACCTCTGGCCAAGGGAGTGAGCTGTGAGGGTGCTCGCTCCCTCCCTCGGGCTCCGCACGGCTCGGGTGTCCTCAGTCCCCGCCGCCCACAGCACTCCACTGGGATGGGAATGCTTGGCCAGTGCACTTGTTATCTCTCTGGAGATAAAATTGGTTAGCGTGTTACTAAGTGTTCGCTTTCTTTTGCAGAGAATGCAGTTCCATGTCTGATTTAATGATTAATATTTAAACTATTTCATTCCTTAACCCCCTCATTTGCTTCTGCCCACGGCCTGTTCCAGTCCCCTTCGCTCGGCAGAACTCTGCAAACTGTGTCGCCCACTACTGAGATTGTTCCACCCTTGATGTGTTTGTATCGATTTGTTTCTGGTGGTAGCTTGTCCTGTAATGTGTGTAGAAAGCAGGTGTTTTATGATAAACTTGTTGTGTAGTGCATGCTCTGTGTGGAATTCAGAGGAAAAAAACAGATTCTGTGATTAACAATGCCAAAAAAACAACAAAAAAGAAAGGAAAGGAAAGAAAAACAAGTTATCAGCCATTGTTCAGATGACAGTGGTGCTATTCCTCTTTTGTGGCCTTTTAGACTTTCGTTGCCCTAAAACTCCAGTTTATTGGGAACCCATTTTCCACCTGGTGTTTCTTGACAGGGTTTTTTTCTACTTTAAACAGTTTCTAAATAAAGTTCTGTATTTCAAGAGTGTCATGTCTGAAATTTGTCTTGGCGGGAGTATGTGCTTTTAGGCTAAGCGGTACGGTACCAGCCCTGACCTACATTGGGATGAGCTTTTCCATGCCTTCACGGGTTTCTCAGATGCGTTTACTTCTGTGGTCCTCACGTTAGATATCTCAGCCTCTCCTGGCTTCGATGCCCGGGGGTGGGGTGGTGGTGGGCTTCCCTGAAGCCTCGTGTCTGTGTCCTGAGAAGTGCAGCTGGGCAGCAGACCCTGGTGATGTTCTTTTGTTCTCCGTGGTGCATCTCAAAGGCCTTGGGCGCTTCCCTTCGCCCAGAAAAGAATCTAAGATTGTCACCCTGCATGCTCTCCTCCTTGTTTTTAGGCCCCCTTTCAAAAGGAGAGTTGGTGCAGAGTTAAGTGGGCACAGAGTCACTTGTAAGGTCTTCAGAGGACCTCCCCTAACCCCGGGTCGTCTGCAAACCCACCCTGATGATTCTGAGTGAGGTCACAGCCACTTCCACTAGACACCGATGGCATGATACCTGCCCTGAAAGGCTAATTCACCTTCACAGGAATGTGTGCAGTGGTGTGATCTACCAGATGACATCTCTGGGAGGGCCTGGAGAGAAGATGCTGTTGGTTGACGTCAGCTGAGACACCCCCGCGGTGCCGACCGTGAAGCCGATCCCTGTACCTTTGATCCCACACTCCATGGACCTGGGGCCCATCCAGCCTTTAGATGTGACGACTTCAGGGGGGGTCATGGGCGCAATCGACTTGGGTCAACTCCTGGGTTTGCTTTGCAAGTTCTGTGTTGCACGGAAGGAAGGTAAGCGAACGGAAATCCATCTCCAGAAATTGAGTCAGCATTTTGAACCACATTTTCTGCCCATCCGGCTGCCTCAAGAAACTGATGAGTGCTCTACCATCACGTGCAGCTGCAAGTCGCGGGACTGGCAGGGGGACAGATCATTGAATGTTGAGTCCTCTCCTTGATTTTTGGCAGCAAATTCCTGCGGGTGGGAATAAATAATTCCTGGTTTTGGGACCATTTGAAAGCAAACCAAGGCACCCATGAAAGGGCTTTGTAAAAACAGGAGTGAGACCATTCTTCCTGCTTCACTTAGTGCTTTCTCTTTGATTTCCTTGCAGTCTGGGGATTGGTGAAGGTAGGAGACAGGGACACGTACTGATGTCTTCCGGTTTAAGGGGGCACATGGGGCTGAAGTTTTCCTCATGTAGTGCTTGCTGGGATCAGAAGGAGCAGACAGACCTCCAAGCCCCCTACATTGTTGGAGAGCAGTGGGCAGATGGGAGGATGGTGACGTGGATTTTCAGGTCCTGTCTGAAAGTCTAGGTTAGGGAAAGCTGACTGCAGGGCTTTTGCAGCTTGAGGCAGCAGAAGGGCACTCCCAAGTACAGGTTTTGGGTATTTTTTAGTCAGTAGTGCCAAGTTCTCATTTTGATTGATTGTTGCTTCCAGCTCTGTATTTATGAATCTTTGATTTTTATCCTGTTTTCCCCAAGGGAAATGAGGTTCTAAATACAGTTTAAAAAATGATTCAGATTCATTGATTTTTTTTTTTAATTGGTATTTTCTGGGAGGTTCTTTCTTTCAAATGCCACACTACTGAAAAAGCAAGATGTTTTTTACTTTAACCATGGTAACTCGTGAGCTCTTGAAAAGCAAGATGTTTTTTACTTTAACCATAGTAACTCGCGAGTTCTTGATTTTCTGGTAAATCTCAATATGGTGAGCCCCATCTGTGACAGATGTTTACCATCGTTCAAATAGCTTGATCTACAAACAAGACGAGGACTTTACCTGAGCCACCTAACCAGATTAGCTTACTAGTGTGTGGTGACCCACCTCCGTGGCTGTTGTCAACAGAAGGTGGAAGTAAGTGCTCTGAGTCAAGTTGAATCCAGGCCTGTGGTCAGTTATCTGTGACTTCCCGGCCACTGCTCTGATTTAAAGTGAGGAATATTTCGTGCACTTGAATTCCCAGTGGGACTTGGAGAACTTTAAAATGAGCCGAGTTCATGTTTCTATTTGTATCTTTACATTTCCACCAAGCAGGGGTACAACAACGTAGAGGCCAGCTCTAAAGGAAAAGCTCAGGAGGGATTCTGCGCTCTTGAACTTGGCTGTCTTAGGGGTCACAGGAGTTGGAGGCTAGTTAGGACGGTCTAGATGGTGTCAGCCGCGTGGTTCTGCAGCTGTGCTTGGTGCAGGTGTGTCTTCCCTCTAACCTAAATTGAAACAGCGTCAGTCCTTGGAAGCTTTCTGTTGCACACTCAAGGTCGTTAGTTATCTTGATGAGCAGTTCTAACATTCCAGTCACACTTCTAGGCCCCTCAATCCTGTAAACTATTGCGATACATCGATAGTGAAAGTTTAAATAACTCAGGTTTTCTTTATACCAGATGAGGGTCTGGCATGTAAAATGGAATGAACGTTCGTAGACACAATTGTGAGTGTGGGGAGAGAGGTCGAGGCCGTTCCAAAGCGAGGCCCCCATGAGATGGCTTTGTACATCTCTTGCTAGATGCTGCTCCCATTTTCCTGGCTGACTGAGGGCTTTTTCTCGTTTGAATCTCTTACAGTCTGGGAATTGGTGAGTCTAGGAAGCTGGGCATAGGTTCTCAAGTCTTCTAGTTTAACTTTCCATGTGGGCAGCGGACTGATAGGACGGAAGCATTGGTGGGGGAGACCAGTTGGTTACAGTCCGTCTCAACAGAGCTGGCTTTATGGCTCAACCGGTTTCCAGTGGGGTCATGACTGAGTTTCTAAGAGATGGTCTTAATGGGTGATTCATAAAATACAGTGTGGACTATTAAAGTCCAAAGTCAAGGCTGTGAGTGGGTGGACTATCAATGGGATACAGGGCTTGCGTCCATCTCTGACCTTTACCAGAATCAAGGGAAACTTGGGGGGGCTGTGAACTTGGGCTTGAGACCAGGTCCTACATCCCAGTGAGCAGATGGGCAGAGCGGCTCCAGAAAAAGTTCCTTAGTTCAGTCAAAAACAATCGGATGGATTGAGAAAAAGTGGGGGAGGGCAGCATTCTATGAAATGTTGCCTCTGGAGGTGGAGTTTCTTGTTGGGCAACTGGGGTTGTATGTAAAGGCGCATCAACTGCACGTATCGTGTGGAGTCTGGGAAGTGCTCACCAATCATGAGGTCATTTGGGAATTCTGTAAACTGTACAGAGCCTTTGTGCTTGGATGATAGTACATTTGGATTGGATTCTCAAGGGGGTGGGGGTAGGGTGAAGCTTGGACAAAAATGGCAAGGGAGTAAGCACATGAGGTTTTTTGGCTTTCTCCAACAGCTGCGAGAATTTTTTTGTTCATAAAACAAACCCAACTCGGTATCATCAAGTTGATGCCCACTCATAGCGGCTCTACAGGGTTCTAGAGGGGCAGGGAGTAGAAAGCCCTGTTTCCTGAGGAGTGCGCTGGTGGTTTTGAACTGCTGGCCTTGCAGTTAGCAGCCTATCGTAACCATGAGGCCACCTGGGTCCACTTGCTGATAACTCCCTTCTCCAAATTCTCATCCATTGCGGGATTCTGTTGGTGT